ATTGGATATGGCCGTGATATCGTCTGACTATTCGGTCTCCTGAAGTCAACACATAACCTCTTCTTTCCATTTCCTTTATTGACCAATATGACTGGTGASGCATAAGGAGACCTGGTCTCACTAATTATACCACTCCTAGCGAGAGTAAGACGGACGTGGCGAAACATTTTATCGAAACAGTGACCGAGTTAGCGTTAAAAGTTGAAAAATTATTGAAGACCAATAAACCTATAGTTTTCACGGATGAACAACGGCAGTCACATGATACATGTACAGATTGTAATTTATGCAAGTGTATTTTTTCTATCCAAAACCATAAAGTGGCAGATCACTGTCATTTATCGGAGAAATTTAGACAAACACTATGTAACACCTGCAATCTGAAACTTCAAACACCGAACTTCGTACCTCTATTTTACCACAACTTGTTCAACTATGACGCGCATCTGATAGTGACGGAACTGAGTCACGACACCCAAGCTTTTAACGTTATTCCGAACAGTGAGGGGAAATGTATATCTTTCTCTAAATACGTATCAAATRCATTTAGCATGCGGTTTATTGACACATTCAGATTCATGGCTTCAGGACTGACAACTCTGGCCAAAAATCTTATAACACCGGGTCTGGAGAACTTCAGAGAAACCGCCAAAGTGTTCGCCACGAATGATATTCCGCTCGTGACACGTCAGGGCGTATATCCGTATGAGTACATCGATAGCTGGAGCAGGTTGGAGGAAACGAGGTTACCTAGCAAGAGGAGTTTTTACAACACGTTGACGGAGACCGGAATTAAAGAGGAGGAAWTTGAACACGCGAAGGAGGTCTGGGACCACTTCGATTGTACAACTATAGGCGAATACAGTGACTTGTATTTGAAGATCGATGTGCTATGGTTGGCAGACGTTTTCGAAAACTTTCGTGACGTGTGTATGAGGGCGTACAACCTGGACGCTGTCCACTATTATACACCGCCCCAGGACTTAGTTTCGACGCGATGTTAAAGTTTACGAGGCAAAATTTGGAGCTGCTGAGCAATTACGACATGTTATTAATGTATGAGAATGGTCAGTATATTATTTTCATTTTTAAAATGTGTATATAATAATCTTTTTTTATTTTTATTAGGTATACGCGGTGGTTTGGTGCAGGCGAGTAAGAGGTATGAGAAGGCTAATAACGTGAAGACCTCGGAATATGACGAGACTAAGGAGAAATCATACATATCAGGACTGTGAGTTTTTGTGAACTTTTCAACTGGGTTGAACCTACATTGAATGGATTGGACGACTTAAACGACACCTCTCCCATAGGACGTGTATATGAGGTGGACATGACATACCCACGACATTTGCATGATAAGCATAACGATCTGCCTTTCCTGCCTCAGAACAGCATCCCGCGAGGGTTAAATTAAAATTAATACTGAATTGAGGAAGAAGGCGAAGAATGATTTTGAGAAAAACTTTCTTAAACTAATGAATAAAGCTTTATTTGGTATGTCACTTTATTTTATTATATACAAACATTTTTAATGATATTTTATTTTTACAGGGAAGACTATGCAATCGAAGAGGAAGGAGATGAAAATGGAATTGGTATCGTGCGAAAGGAGGTTACAGAAACTAATAAATAAGTCTACATGTAAACACTGCACAAATTACAATGAGAACCTTAATGCTGTCGCTCTAGAGAACAAAATGATCAAATTTGATACACCCATCAATATCGGTAAATATATTTTTATAATATACACTTTTATCATACATTTATTATTTACAGGATTTACAGTGTACATATCGAAAACTTTAATGTATGACTATCACTATAATATAATGAAGAAATTCTATGGAGACAAAATTGATCTAATGTAGGGTAAGGCGGGGCAAGATGACGAATGGGGAAAGATGACGAATTCAGTATTTATCATTATTTATCATAGATAGCAGCACATCGCAGCACGTATAATAGCTCCATAGAGTAATATAGARGTGGCGTCCCCTATGACGACTGTTAACCGAATTGAAGCCAATACTAAATAAAATGTGTCTAGTAACTCGATATTTTCTCACTAGGTTGCGCTGAAAACTACATCAAAAAGTGATAACCATTAGCTGTTATGTTGATAGTGAATATAATAAAATTCGAATTTCGTATTG